GATGGAAATGGTTCATGACTGCACTGTCCATTCTGATACCCACTAGCCACATGATGCTGCTCAACACTCCACATGTGGCTAGTGCAGCCATAGTTAAATACTTATCTCAAGCTTCTAGTTATTGTGGCGCTGTGGGTTAATGCGCTGGACTGCAAAGTTGGTTTGAACTACAAGTTTGTCAGTTCAAGCTCACCAGTTGCTCCTTGGAAACCGTATACAGGATCGCTGTGGGTCAGAACCTACTCGACGGCACTTAACAACAACATCTACTATGTATATGCCAGACAGTGCATTAGGCATTTCACACAGATGAATTCCCTGACTGCTCACAGCCTCTTATGAGGAGATATTGTCTTCCCTGTTTAAAGGGAAGGAAATAGAGAATCCAAAAAGCCTCCCTAGAGAGTAGTAGAGCTGGGTTTGGTTCCAGTGTGTGACCTTTCTAACATAGTTCATTTCCCAATTCAGTGAACCTGTGAGAGAGCCAGAACTTGATAGAACTGCCTTGTTGCTCTGGGTCTTTCAAGTTTTCCATCTTTGACAGGGCACCGTTGTATCACTTTTTAAAAACTTTTTATTGTGAATTGGATAAAGGTTTACAGAGCAGAACAGTGCACACACATTTTGTTTCATTTCATTGATTGTCATCCCCTCAGTGTACCCTCACTTATCCCACTTCCTCCCTGTGTTTCCTGTTTCCGTTCCTCCTTCTTTTTGAACCCTTCTGAACTCTGTCCTTGGGATAAATGCTGCCCTTTTGATCTCAAATGATTGATTATTCGTAGGTGTGCTTACCTTCCTAGTGTTATTGCTCCCCTTCTAGACCTCTCTGTGGTTTGGTTGAAAACTGAGCCACAGGAGTGAGTTCAGTCCCAGACCTGAAGGGTGACTAAGAGCCATAGTCTTGGAGGTATAAACTTTTTTTAAAATAAGAGAATGGGAGAAGAGGGCCGGAGACTATGGGTACGGACAACTCTTTAGGGTTTTAATGGGGAGTAGAGAAGGTGCTCTGGTAGCGTAGTGGTTATGAATCGGGCTGCTAATCTCAAGGTTGGCAGTTTGAAACTACCAGCTGTTCTGAGGGAGAAAGATGAGGCTTTCCGCTCCTGTAAAGATTTGCAGCCTCGGAAACCCTGCGCAGGGTCACTATGAGTCGGAACCGACTCCACGGTACTTAACAACAACAAGAGGAGGAGGGCAAGATGCTCTGGTAGCATAGTGGTTACGAGTCCAGCTGCTTAACCTCAAGGTCAGCAGTTCAAAACTACCAGCTGTTCCTCAGGAGAAAGATGAGGCTTTCTGCTCCTGTAAAGATCTAAAGCCTCAGAAGCCCTACGCAGGATCCCTATGAGTTGGAACTGACTCCATGGCACACCACCACCAGAGGAGGAAGGCAGCGACTGGAAGAGGGCAGGAGGACATGGTGTAAGGACAGTGCTTAGTTTTTTTGTTTTATTTTTTTTAGGGTCAACTAAATTCTTTTTATTGTGATTTGAGTGGTTTACAGAACAAATTGCTTTCTTTTTCTTTTTTTTTAAAGTGTTTATTGTGAATTGAGTGATAGTTTATATGGGACAACACCGGTTTTACACTCATCATTTCATTGCAATGATTACAGTCTTCTTTGTGCATGATCATTCAACAGTATTTTTGCTTCTATTCCCTCTGGGTTTTGTTTTGTTTTTTTGCGGGGGGTGGTATGCACACACAAAAAATATATAATCATTTAAACAACCAAAGGGCACATTCTGCAAGCCTGCCTCCTGACCACCAGCAGCTGGCCATCAGCACACAGCCTTTCTCTTTCCTTGAGTCTAGAGTCCTTGTATCACTTTTCTTGCTTTTCTGACAGTGTTCTGCCTTACATAGGTCTGTGTTTCACAGATTTTACTGTATTATTTTCTCCCCATCAATTGGATAAACTGTTTCTCCACTCTGCCTCTTAACATTGACAGGTGCCCCTCTGATGAACTAGTCTTCCATGCCCCCACTTCTCTCACTTTGGAATGACTTCACAGGGAGGACCAGCAGGCATAGAGGAGTAGAAGAGTGTTAGTGGATGGAGTGCAGAGCATTAAGCAACCCAGAGGATTTGAGGTGTTTGGGGACACCCTTCCAAATTTCAGTTTCTCCTTAACACTAGGTGGCTTCAGTCTTACCTTTCAGTGCTTCTTGAAATATGGGAGCAGGGGACAGTTAACTGCTTCAAACTAGGGTTTACAAGTGTGTCTGTACATTGGGGAGATGACTGGTCTACTCATTCATTCATTCAGTAAAAAATATGTAAAGCACCTTGGGGATTTCAGTTCAATAGGTCTGTGATGAGGGTTGACTATCTGCATTTTAACAAAACCCAGATGATTCGATGGTCCACAAATCACACTTGGAAGTCTGACTGTATTGGTTCCAAATCTCATCTCACTTACTCGCATGTTGCCATTTATAAAAGGAGACTTCAAAAAGTTCATGGAAAAAATGGAATTAAGAGAGAATGTAATTCTGCCATGAACTTTTTGAAGCACCCTTACCCCCACCCCCATATATACAATCTTGGAATTCCCATTACAACTAGAAGTAATCTCTTCCTCCTCTGATCTTCCATTAACTGTTGTTGTGGTTGTGTGCCGTGGAGTCGGTTCCAACTCATAGCGACCCTGCACAGGGTTTCCGAAGCTATAAATCTTTATGGGAGCAGACCACCTCATCTTTCTCCCACAGAGCGGCTGGTAGTTTAGAACTTCTGACCTTGCGGCTCGCAGCCCGATTCGTAACCACCACGCTACCAGAGCTCCTTTTCCATTAACTAGTGGGGCTCATTTCCTGACTGCACATTGTTGTTGTTGTTAAATGTTGGTTAGCAGTCTAGTGCTTATCCTACAGCTCCACTCCAGGACTCCGGCAGTACATTGTTGTTGTTGGTAAGTGCCTTCAAGTTGCTTCCAACTCACAGCAACCCTGTATAGAATTTCCAAAGAGCGGCTGGTGACTTTGAACCGCCAGCTTTGTGGCTCAAACTGACCTTGTGGTCCAGTGCTTTATCCCACAGTGTCACACTAGGACTTGGCTGCACGCTAGAATCACCTAAAAGCCCCAAGCCCACTGCCATCTTAGCTACAGTTCTGACTCATGGCGACTCTGTAGGACAGGGTAGAACTGCCCCCAGAGGGCTGTCATTCTTTAAAGAAGCTAGTGAGTTCGAACCACTGACTTTTCAGTTAGCAGCTGAAAGCTTAACCATTGCACCACCAGGCCTCCTCAATCACCTGAGGAGGTTTTTTAAACTACTGTAAGTAAGCAGGCCCTGGCCCTGCCCAATTTACCAGGATCCTGGGGGTGGAATCAGGCATCTTGGAGGATGAATGAGTCTGCCCAGGTGAGGCCTCCTCCCTGCATCTCTGGGCCCTCAGGACTCTGACCACATCCTATTACTTACCTGTTTCTCCTTTTGGCTAGACTGGAGTCACCTTTGATCTTCCACCTGAAGTCCTGGTGGGCACTGTGGGTTAATGAGCTGGACTGCAATGTCGCTTTGAACTGCAGGGTTGGTGGTTCAAGCTCACCAGTCGCTCCTCAGAAATCCTATACAGGGTCTCTGTGGGGCAGAACCTACTCAATAGCACTAACAACAACAACAACCTTCAGTATGGAACATTTCACCAACAGTTTAGTGTTTACAATGGAAACTGGTTCAGTTCAGCTTATGGACACCATACCATTGCCTCAGACACAAGCAATAGATTTTGTTGCCCGAAGATACAAGTGTTATCTATGTCCTTTCTTAACCACCGTCTTTATTTTTTTACTAGGTCTTGGGTTGCCTTTGTTGTTGTTGTTATGTGCCGTGGAGTCGGTACCCTGTACAGGGTTTCCGAGGCTGTAAATCTTTACGGGAGCAGAAAGCCTCATCTTTCTCCCGCAGAACAGCTGGTAGTTTCGAACTGCTGACCTTGCGGTTCGCAGCTTGATTCGTAGCCACTATGCTACCAGAGTACTAGTGGTAGAGGGGTGGTGCGGGGCATGGGAACAAGAACCGCCTGGGGTAGAGTGAAAGCACCGAGTGGTGGGATGGGCAGGCTGCCTGGCCAAGCTGCTGGGAGCTGCAAGGGCTGCACTTGTCAGCCTTCAGGATGCTGGTGCCAACCCCTGCCAGCTCTTGGTACTCCAATGTTGGCAGCGCAAAGCCTAGGAAAATCTCCCAGCATGGAACATCTCTCCTCTAAAGCTTCTTGGCGCCATGGTAGGCAAGTGGGAGCAGGCTTGGTCTCAAGCAGAATCATGAAGCTGCTGAGCTTTTCCTCAAGTACCCAGTCTCCCTTTCTTCCTCTCTTTCTAACAATGGCCCTGGACCTTGTCACCTTCCCAAAGGCCACTGCCCCCATCCAGGCCTTTTCTTTTGCCCCTCCTACCTAAGTCTGCTCCTAAGAAAGGTAAACTAATTCACATTACATTGAATATTTCTTTTCATGTTGTCTGTTAAGTCTAGGAGTCCTGGTGGTACAGTGGTTTAAGTGCTTGACTGCTAACCAAAAGGTTGCCAATTCAAACCCATCAAAATCTCCAAGGGAGAAAGCTGAGGCTTCTGTAAAGATTTACAGCCTTGGAAACCCTGTGAGGCTGTTCTGCGCTGTCCTCTAGGGTCACTATGAGTCCGAATAAACTTGATGGCAGTGGATTTGTTTAGTTTTTAGTTGGTGAGTGTGCTACCCTGTCCAGGGACTGTTTGTTTGCTTGTTTTAAAATCACCGAGAAGAGTTTCCAAACGAAGGAGTTTCACTGCCATTGTGGATGCAGTGTGTGTGAGGGTAGTGGGGTGGTTCATTCTGAACTTCCGAAGTTAGAGTCTTCCTGCTCTGAAATCCTAGGTGGGTGGGGGACACCTGCTTCTGGATCAGTAGCTGCCTGTGTTTTAAAGAACAGATTTTGCCTTTTGGGAACACACCCTCAACATACCCCTTAGAAGGCATTAACAGAGGGTCTCATAAGCCCCCTCCTCCTGTCAGATGTGGACGAGTGTGTGGAGGGGACCGACAACTGCCACATCGATGCTATCTGTCAGAACACCCCACGGTCCTACAAGTGCATCTGCAAGTCTGGCTACACAGGAGATGGGAAACACTGCAAAGGTGAGGCTGGGAGCACCCAAGAGGAGGGGCTTGGGGGCAGCTGGCCAGACTGTGCACTCCCTCTGTGGAATCCCCACTCACATGGGGGAAAGGGTGGAGAAGTTTTCTCATTTGTACAAAAGGCATCCTATAGAATGCAGAGACCCATGGTAGGAATACCTCACAGCCCTACAGCCCAGCAAGGGGTTAGGGATCAGAATCTTGAGCCTGACATTCCTTGACATTGGCGCCTTCCTCTTCAGACCCTTCCACCATGCCAGCAAAGGATGGGAACAGACAATTGACCCCAGGGGAAACTCACACTGTAAACAAACACTTCTCTTCCCTCATAATTAAAGCAATGCACATTAAAGCAGCCTTGAGGTGTTATTTTAAATTTATGACCTTCAGTGTTGGTGAGACTTCAGAGGAGAGGTACTCTCATTAGCTCCTGGCATGAAAAATTGAAGTGATTCTGTAATACTTGGTAGGAATCTTAAAAGTTATTCATACCCTTTGACCCAGGAATTTCACTCCTAGGGACGTATTCCAAGGAAACTAAAAGAAACCAAATAATATATGGGATGAAGTTGTTCTTTGAGGCATTATTTATGATAGCAAAATAAGTGGAAGGCATCTAAGTGTCTAACAATAGAGAAAAGGGATTAATAAATTATGATATAGCAACACAATGGAATATTCTGCAACTATTTACAATGCTAATTAGGAAGTCTCAGTGGAAACATGGGAAACTGTTTATGACAAGTTTAGATGAAAAGAGCAAAATGGAAAATGTTTTATAGGGTATGAAAGTAACTATGTAAACACACACACACACACACACACACACACACAAGGAAGGCTATATTAAACCTACAGGGCCAATCCCAGGAGTGAACAGTGGAGGGCGCAAGGGAGGGTTCAACTGAACCCTGTCTGTTCCTTGTTTCCCACAGATGTGGATGAGTGTGAGCGAGAGGATAATGCAGGTTGTGTGCACGACTGCGTCAACATCCCTGGCAATTACCGATGCACCTGCTATGATGGATTCCACTTGGCACACGATGGACACAATTGTCTGGGTGAGCATGGGAGACTATGGGGGGCGGTGTGGAGTGTCTAGTGGGGTGGGGGGCATTTTCAGCATTTCTGAGGCAAGAATGGAAAAACTATCAAAAAGAACCGCATTCCCCAAACACATGCACACAAAAGAACAAGGTCATTTCCGAGTGAGGATGAAATAATTCTGCTATTGGATGGGGAACATAAGAGGAGATGCTGCTAGGAAGCTCTCTCTGGGCAAGGGTCAGCAGCTGAGAATAAATGTGAGGCATTAAGAGAAGAATGATGCTTTGACTCCAGACAGACCCATGGCTCTGCTGCTTAAAGCCTTGAGGCCTTGAACAAATCAGCTAATCTCTGGGAGTCTCAGTTTCCTCATCTCTAAAATGGGAATGATAGAGTCTCTGGGTGATGCAAATGGTTAATGCACTTGACTACTAGCCAAAAGGTGGGAGGTCTGAGTCCTCCAGAGGAACCTTTGAAGAAAGGCCTGGAGACTTCTGAAAAGTCAGACACTGAATAGAACACAGTTCTGTTTGGACACACATAGAGTTGCCATGAGCTGGAATCCACTTGGTGGCAACCAGTGTTTAATGTTCCCATAAAGGGCTGCCAAATGGATCACCATGGTAGAACATGGGGGAAGGGCCACATACAATCCTTAGCAGATAGTAGATGTTCAATAAATAGGAATGTTGATGATGCTGGTACATCTTCCCCTGTGCTCTGGGGAGATTCTGGTCCTTCCAGGCTGGTTCTCCCCAGCTTTCCCTGCAATCTCCAGTCTTACTCCTTCCTGATACCTCCATCAGACTTGATACCCTTGGTCCCAAAAGCAGAATCAGACAAAGGAGAGTCTCTGGGGACCTGAACTCAATTTTGGTTTCTGTCAATTTGGAAAATTGCTAGGGAAAACTGAAACCCATAGCAGAAAAGGATTTCAAATTTGAATCCAGGGGCCCTTTCCCAAACTTTCACTCTCTGTTACGGACGCAAATAGGGGACTGGAAGAAGTGAAGACAGGAGAGGTGCCCAGAAAGCAGACCGTCCAGGCACATCACCCTCACCTGACCATATACCCACCTTCTGAGGTCCCATTGGCCTAGGAGAGCCTCCTTACCACAGAGCTTCCTCTAAACCCAGTTACACCCATCCTTGGACTGGCCTATCAGTTTCATTCCCAACCCAGGTCTGTAAATTCTGGTCACTCTGGGCCTTCCCCCATCCTGGCCACCTCTCCCACCACTTTAGCTCCTAGGAAGGGCCTTACTTCATGCCTACCCAGAAACCCTTGAGGACCACTTTTGGTACTCATTTGGGAAGAAAAGTGACTTGCCTACAAGACTGGAAATATGGTCTTTCTAGGCCCTTGATTCTCACCCAGCCTTGTTTCCCTAATGTGTTTTAGGGAATAGCAACACCAGAAGGGTAAGCAGAGAAGGGATCAGGGGGAGGAGATGACAGAGCCTGAGGCTGAGCTATCTAGGGTTCAGGCTCAAAGTCTCAACCTTACCCTTGGCTCTTAGGGGGACCCTGAGAAAGCTGTCCATGTGCTACCTCAGTTTCCTAACTGAGAACTAGAAGAAAGAAATTGACTATAGTAGCAAAGCCACAAGATTGAAATAGAAGAGAGCAAACAGCAGAAGGAAGAAACAAAGGTAGGCTAGGGCAAGAGCAGGAAGATAGGAACTGGGAGGAGTAAGGTTGTAGGGAAAGTTGGAGCTGAGGCAGAGATAATAAAGCTTTTCCAACAGGTACACTAAGCTAGAAGGGGCAAGGATAGGGTTAGGTCCACAGCAGTGATGGGAAAGGAGGGGCAATTGAGACCCTCAGGAACCCAGATTTTAGCTATTCTGTTTGAAGTCGTGGTGTGGCTCCATGGGCTAATGCGCTGGACTGCAAGGTCAGTTTGAACTGCAAGGTTGGCTGTTCAAGCTCACCAGCTGCTCCTTGGAAACCCTATACAGGGTCGCTATGAGTTGGAACTGACTCTTCAGCACTTAACAACAAACCCCCCTGATGATTCCTGGGCCGGGGCCAATTGAGGAGGGCTGTGGACCTGGGAGGGAGGGTGGTAGCTAGCTTGGAGATAGAGTCAAGGCACTGCAGTGATGAGCTTGGCACTCGAGTCTGGGGGTAGTGATTTTGGGGTGAGAGCCTACTGTTCTCCCACCCCTATCTAGGGTGTGGCCTGGCAGCTCTCCCCCATCCCTCTCAGCCAAGCTGCCTGACTTTGTTTTGTTAAAGCCAAAATAGGAGAAAGGCTAGGAAATATGGCAGTAAGCCCAGGCATAGGGGGAGGGAAGAGAGGACCCGGCCATGGCCTGTCCACAGAAATGGCCCCTGCCCCACAAGAAGTTTCCCCACCCTCAGTGCCACACCAAGGTTCTCCCAGAACACAGCCCTTCCCCAGGCCCTCTGTGTCCCAGACTGCAACACAGCCAGCTGCCACCCTGTTACTTTTTCCTGACCACATCTCCATTCTTAGCTCCATCGCTGTCCCCCTGTGATGATCTCCTCTGCCCTCAGGCCCACTCTCAACAGGTGAGGGAGAAGGCCAGTCCTCCCCTAGAGGAGAGGAGCCAGGTTCAGATGTCACCTCCCCACTTCGCTGGCTCCCCAGCACTGCCCTAGAGGTGGCCTCCTCAGACTCAGTGGGATTCCCCGATGGGAGGGCGAGAGGGGGGATGTGTGGAGTCAAAACTGCCTGACTTGACGTGCCTGGCTGAATGCTGGGCTGTGGGGAGGTGCTGGGTTGGTAAGACTGCTCTCAGCCTTGTCCTGGGCACTCCCTGGACCCTGGCCTGCACCACCTCTCCTGCACAGACGTGGACGAGTGTGCCGAGGGCAACGGCGGCTGTCAGCAGAGTTGTGTCAACATGATGGGCAGCTATGAGTGCCACTGCCGGGAAGGCTTCTTTCTCAGCGACAACCAGCACACCTGCATCCAGCGGCCAGAAGGTCAGCCCTGCCCTGCCCTGCCCTGACCTGACCTGCCCGGCCTGGCCCAGGCTTCTCTGCCAATTTGCTTGGGACCTTCTCCTTGCCTCCAAGTTCACCCTTTGTTCTCAACCCAGTCACACACTGAAGGCTGTGTGTGAACAAGATCAGGGTTGGGGTCTGTGTGGGACTGAGGCTACAGCAGAGTGTCCCCTATGTCCAGAGCTGGGGTGTCTGATAGCCCTGACTAGATAGCTGAGCTTAAGCTCCTGCGTATCTGAGAGAATTCATCAATGCCTTACCCTGGGTTTGGGGGTCAGGCAGGAATATTGGGGTCCATGTTGTCTGCTTCTATGTCTCTCTCCTGCCCCACTAGACTGTGACCTCCCTGAGAGCAGGGGTTATGTCTGTCCATTCTTGTAGCCCCAGCACAGAAGCAGACATAACTGTAGGTTCTTTAAGGGAAGGGACCATGTCTTATGTTTTTCTGAGTCCTTCCTAAATCCAGCCAGTACCTCTCACAGTACGGAATAACTATTAGACACATATCTCTTTTGGGGTTGTTTGAAGGATAGGGTAATCATGCAAGTTTCCTCCTGCAATAGGGATCCATATCTATTCATTCATCATTTAGAATGGCCACTGAATTATGTTTAGCAGCACCCAGCTCTGTGAGCAGAACAGGAGGCCTATGAGGGGGAGAATCAGCACCCCCTCATGTGGCCACCTCAGTGGAATTCTCCCAGTTCTTAGGTCCCCAACCACCCCTTCTAGTGCCCCCCGCCCCCGGGCATCCCATCCTGGGGCACAGAGCTTTCACTTCCCTCCTCTTGCCTTTTAGAAGGAATGAACTGCATGAACAAGAACCATGGCTGTGCCCACATTTGCCGGGAGACACCCAAGGGGGGGATTGCTTGCGAATGCCGCCCTGGCTTCGAGCTCACCAAGAATCAGCGGAACTGTAAATGTGAGATGGTGGGGATGGCAGAGGGGTGGGTGGAGACAGGGCCAGGAGGGAGGTGGGAGCTTAGAGCAAGAGCACGGGATTGGGAGGGAAAGGGAGCATGGGAGAGGCAACTAGCACCAAGGGCCAGGATCTGGGTTTCGGAGCAGCAGGGTTGGGGAGCAGAAGGCTAACAGGCTCCTGCCCCCTCTGTGCACAGTGACATGCAACTATGGTAATGGTGGCTGCCAGCACACATGTGATGACACAGAGCAGGGCCCCCGGTGTGGCTGCCATGTCAAGTTTGTGCTTCATACCGACGGGAAGACATGCATCGGTGGGTGAGGCCAGAGGAGAACCCAGTCCCCCTGGGATGGGAGTGGGGGTACTTGGTGCCCAGGTGCTGGGCATAGAGCAATGGTGAAGGCCTGAGGACCCAGACAATGCCAGGCCTAGTGAGGAAACTTCTGAGAGGGGCTGAAGGACTGACCCGACTCCTTCCCCACTGCCTACCCCCCACCACGGGAGCTTCCTCTCTTCTCATCGCACTGAGCTGTTGCCAAACAGACTAATTGCTCCAGGCTGATTAATTGACAACTGGGAGGAGCACTGGGGACACTCAGCTTACTGGACCTGACCAGAGGCTCTTCAGCTGACCAGTGTGGTTAGGTGGGAGCTACCACAGCCCACTGCCACCACTCTGGGACTAGTAGGGGTGGGGCAGCTTCTCTTTTCTGGGACCACCAGCTCTGAGCTGACAGATGGGCTTTCCTGGCTCCAGGTATCTTTTTCCCCTTTATCTTTGCCCTCCTCACTCTTCCTCTAAGTCCCCTTCCCACTCGCCTTCTCCTAGCCCACACTGCCTTCTCTCCATGTCAGATTCCAGTAGTATTCGTTCTCAGCTCCACCTTGCCACCTGCCTCTCAAGTCCTCACCAACCCCAGGCTTCCATCATCTCACCCTGGCCTGGGGCCCTCTTAACACCAGGACCCTTTCTCCTGAATCCCTAGGCCCTCCCTCACATACCTTCAGCTACTATAGATGAGGTTCATTCCTTAATTCCTGGAGTTTTATTCCTAATTGCAAAGGCTAAGTACTGTGGGCTTCCAGCTGAGAAAGATGGTGGGGCAAGGTGTCTCTCTGGAGATGTAGGGAATCAAAGGAAGTGTTTGGAGGTGTGCTTGCTCTGTGGGCCTGGGTGTGTGTGGACAACTGCTCATCTGGTGGCGTACAACATGCTGGGGAGGGGAAAGTGTGGAAACAGTCACACTGTGTGAAACTGCATACGTCACGGACATGGCTCAAAGCTTGGGACCCAGTTAGTTGCCCCCTGGTTTTCCCCAGACACAAACAGGTGGATACCTGCTCCAGAAAACTGCGCACCTGGTTTGAAAAGTTCTCCTTGATTTTAATTAAGGTCTTTCCTGCTACATGTTTCCCTATGAACAAACTCTTCAGAGACCCTGGGACAGTGTCTTCTCCTGCTGGTTTGCTCCGCCTCCTGTCACCTTTCCTCATAGTCCTAATTTTTCTGCTTTCTAAACCTCTAACCACCACCTGGACGTACTCACACATATCTCCAGAATCCAAAAGAAAGAGCATGCAGTCCCCAAAGAAAAGCTGCATGTAGTAGGACAGGGGGGAGGGGGGCATGAGGATAAGGCTTCGTTCCTCTCTGGTGTCTTTCTGTTGAGTTAGCCTTGGTCATGGCTGCTTTTGAGGGTACCCTTACTTAGCTTGAGTGCTCCTCTAACTGAAGACCCATTCTGCCATCCAGACCACAGCCAAGTCAGGCCAAAGAGAGCAAACGAGGCACTTCTAGGATTCACAACTATTTCCTTTCCTAGTCCTCTCCCTCTTCTCCAGTAGAGCGTATTTGGCCTTCTTGCCTTATCTTATTTTTCTCACCAGCCCTAGTGGGAGGAAATGTCATTGTTGGGCGCCATCAGGACATTCAGATTTGGGAGTTGGTGAGGCTTGAGGCTGCATCCCTGCTTTGCCTTCAGCATGCTGTATGGTATTAGCCCCATGATTCTTCCTCTCTGAGATTCAGTTTTCCCTTAGTCACTTGGCAGGAGTCAGGCTTTTTTAAGGACACCAGACAGGACAGGCTTGGGAGTAAGGCTGCTGTCTGGGGTTCCAGGACTCCCTGGGGCAATTGGTTTGGGCCTATGGGGTGGAGAAGGGGGTGGGGAGGGGGCTGGGGCCCCTGGGGCCACAGTGGCTTCTGCCCAGCATCTAAACAGCTTTTTTACAATGTCAAACAGGGGAAAGGCGGCTAGAGCAGCACATCCCCCCTCAGGCGGTTTCTAATGGTAAATATGTCTGCTCTCACAGCTTGCTCTCTGGCTTGCCTAGGGGAAGGGCTAACCCGCCGGGGCTCCCACTAACCGCATGCCCATTGGGCCCCGCGTGACTGGGCCCCAGCCTGCCAGCAGGGCCCCCTGGAAGCCCAGGCACTGGGCCCACCGAGTGACAGAAAGCCTGAGTCCTCCAGCGCTGGCCCAGAGCCTCCATGTTGGCCATGTCTGTGTTCTGTCACTTGCCTCTCTCCTTCCTTTGTGTCCCTCCTTCCACCTTCTAACACCCCAGCCTCTCCCCATGTGTCTGCCCCTCTCTTTGCCTTTCTGCATAGCTTCTGACCCAATCAACTCTATCATGCCCACCATGCCACCTGGCAGAAGGTTGCAATAGGGTTAGAAACCATCCTCTACTAGGGACTTCTTTCTTGGGTTCATGCTCAGTTTAGTTCCCAGTCCTGGCGTTACTCACCATTTTCTCCCACTCTAATGGCTAAGAACATGACTTCTGGGTTCAGACTTGAGTTTGAGTTCTAGCTCTGCCACCTTCTAACTGAATGACCTCAGGCAACCTGCTTTCCTCTCTGGTCCTCAGTTTACAGTGCTATAAACTAAGGAGAACAACAGTCCTCCCTTAGGAAAGTGCTGTGATGAGCATCTTGTAGGCAGGTACCTGCTGAGGAGGAAGCTGGTGGTTGTTCACAATTCCACCTGGAGAGCAGAGAGGGTGGATGTACCACCCTGCACTGGAGAAGGCTACCCTGAGGTGTGGGTGCTTCTCCCCCAGCGTCTTGACCCAACCCTGCATGGGACAGTATGCCAGCTCTGCTGTTCCCCATCCTGGACCCCTCAGCAGCTACCCAGACTTGGGGAGGATCTCTGCTCCCCTTACTCTGCCCCGGGGCTTGTGGTCTGGGACCTCTTATGTATGCTAAGAGTGCTCTCATGGGGGTGATGGTTGAGTGTGGAGCCTGAACTCAAGGTTCCTTCCCAGGTTTTTTCCATGGTCTTGGGGAACCTCAGGGTGGGGAACCTCAGGGGAAACTAAGGTGAGAGTGACACACAGGAACTACCACTGTGACTGCTCCCAACCCTGGACATTTGACAGACCAGGGTAGGGCCAGTGCTCACAGCCAGAGGGGAGGTTCTTGAGGAGCCCTGGCCTTGCTCTCTCCTCAATGACAAGGGCTGGACCTGAGTTTAGGAGTCAGAGATTCCAGAAGACACTAAAACTCTCCAGTGCTTTTCTTGTCCACTTCCCCTAATTCTGAGAACTACTTTCCTCTCTTCCCCAGCTAAGGTCTCTGGATTTTGTCTCTCTTTTATGGGAGAATTCTCTAGAAAACAGTTGGCACCTCCTTACATCCTTCTGTCTGGGCCAGGCACTATTGTGAGCTGAGGGTTTTCCCTTGGATGCCTTTGAACTCCCCTCTTCTCTCTCAGACTGTAGTTTTAACCTGTTTTTCTCCTTCTCTGAATTCAAAAAATTAGGAGGGCAGCTCACCCACACACTCTGTCAAGAGGGGGCACGTAGCAAAAAGGACTCAACTGAAATAAGGATTTGGGTTTTATCTAAAAGATTGAGTTTCTATCATTCTTCCACCTACATCCTTGAGAACTTCCTCTTCCTCTTCCTCTGGACTCTGCTCCTTTTGCCCCATCTCCTACCCCCCAGACATTACCTTGTCATTCTGAAAGTAGAACAACAAAACAGCCAGCTTATCTCCATCTGGAACAAAGAAAAAGGGGCCTTGAGAGGAGGAGTTGAAGGGAGACGTAAAGGGGCCAGGAAATGACCAGCAAGTGTGCCGTTGCCCCTGGTAAGCAGTCAGGCTTTGAACTGGGGTCTTCTTTAATAAAGACAGCTGAGCAGAGAGAAGGGGGAGATGGATTGTTGATCAATTGGATTGAAGATCACTCTTCCCACCATGATCTCCGACTTACTGAAGCGGTGGTCGATGAAAAGTTCTCTGGCCCCTTCTTGTTTCTTGCCAGCCAGAAGCACCCTTGCTTAGCTCCCATCCCTCCCTGCTCTCTTCCCTCTCCACCTCCTCCACCCCCAGCACATTCCTGCCTGACAGCTCTGGCTTGTACCTGCCTCACTGCTGTCCACCTTGTTTCAATCAAGTAGGGGGCAGGGAAGTGGACTGCTTGGCTGCACTTGTGAGGGGATGGGGGTTGGGAGCCTCCACTTCATGCTCCTTCTAAGGTACAGGGAGGCAGCTGAGGTCTGCCCTCCGGCCTCTGTGGTCTCCACTGCCCTCTGGTTGGAACCTCTTCAGGCCCATAACCCTGTTACCCTCCCCTGCTCCCCCTAAACAGAGACCTGCGCTGTCAACAACGGGGGCTGCGACAGTAAGTGCCATGATGCGGCTACTGGTGTCCACTGCAGCTGCCCAGTGGGCTTCATGTTGCAGCCGGACAGGAAGACCTGCAAAGGTAAGAGCGTCCTGAGCATAGGAGCGCCAGACCTTTGGCCAGATGTTAGAAATGAATCCCGATGTCGCATAAAAGACACTCGGTGAGACTAAATTACCTTGGCAAAGTAAAATTTACTCTTGCAAGAGGGTGCCTGCGCATAGCCGTACATACACGAACAGGCTAGCGAGCACACCGAGTGGGCAGTCCACTTGGGTTGTTAATCCCTGATGCGAGTCTCAAGGCTGTGTCTCACCCTATTGGCTAGGGTTTTGACCGCACAATCTATTCCCTTACCAGGTTGGCTAGTTCAGATTTTTAAGGTACACATTCCTACTTTAGGAAAAGAAGAAGAAAGCGATCATAAATTCTTTACTCCAGGAAGTAGATTAAAGAAAAAGAAAATGATCATAAAAATATTTTTCCACACAGAGATAAAATACCTGCACTGGGATGTCCCCCTTGGCCTCCTGGAGGCCATCCAGACTGTAAAGAGCAGAGGATGATCTTAGTGTTGTCTCCCGTCCACCTTTTCCATCTCCGTTAGAGGGGCACAAACAAGCCAGTTCCTTGGTGCCTCCTGCACCCACCCTACCTTGTTTTCCTTGCTCCCATTCTTATCCTCCTGCTAGGTCCCTGACCTTCTTGGTTAATGAACCTGTCATTCACATTTGCCCCTGGGTCTGAAAGGATATTGGAGCCCTGACTTTGTTATGTGCATGAGGTCACAGGTGTGTTCCATAACCTTCCTAATTCACATTCCTCAGGCCTTCGAGGTAGGCTCTGGGGGAAAGATCTCTCCCCCTGAGAAAGACTGTAACTGCCACAGAGAGGTGAGGGGGCCCAGTTAGGGGCACTGCCTCTTCAGTAGGTGCCTTCTTCTTCAGTACCACCCAGTTAGCTCCAATTCATGTTTTTGTTATTGCTAAAAGCTAAGTCAGTGCCTGTATAAGTGACCTTGTATAGGGTTTTTGAGGAAGGGCTAGTAAATTTGAACCACGGACCTGGCTGTCCAGTGCGTATCCTCTAGCACCACACCAAGACTGCTCCCATTCAAATCCACCTTGTGTAGGATTCCCCAGGAGCGGGAGCCTGGCTACCTGCCTTCAAGTCAAGTTCTACTTCTTACAACTCTGTGGCTGCAGGCAACTTACTTTGTTACTGCTCAGTGCCTCAATTTCTCCACAATAACAGTGCAGGCCTCATAGGTTTGTTGTGAGGATTGAATTACAGAGGAGGGGGCTTCAAAATGTTACTGGGGAAAATTCCATGATCTTTTAATGTCGTTTTTCCATGAACTTTTTGAAGCCTCCATGTATTCAGTGCTTAAAACAGTGCTTGGCAAATAGCTATTATGGTGGTATAATTTCCCACATTGGCCATTCTATTTTCCCACTTTAAAATTAGCCAGGTCTGGGGGATATAGGGAGAGAGAAAAAAGGGAAGGTTGCCATACTGAAAAGAATGATTCCTCAGGTCTATGTCCCCTTGGTCACCAAGAGTGGGGACTGACAGGGAGGAGGACTGGGTTCCTCCTTTGTGGCTTTTGGCTCAACAGCTGCAAAAAGGGGAGGGCTGGGGCAGCAGGTCAGCCAGCCAGAGTTGAGAGGTTTCCTGCTGGGAAGGACTGTTGACAGGTATGCTAAGAGTGAAGTGGAAGGCTGCCCTCCCTGCCCCCTTCCCCAAGGAGGGGTGAGTAGCCTGGGTTCTGTCTGCCACCAGCTTGGGGAACTTGACCTCAGGAAGGAAGCAGCTCACCCGCCCCCCTTCCCTAGCTAGTGCTGAAAGCTGCCTCAGGCCTGAGTCTCTCCAGACCTCTCCCAGTCCAGCCCCCTGCCTGGCCCCCCACCCTCCCCCACCAGCTACCCAGCCCCACTGGCTCTCCCAACCTGGCCTCCCTCCCAGCTCCTCCTCCCTGAAGGGCTGCCCCTTTAAAGTGAGTCCCCTCTGAATCCACCTCTCCTTGGCCCCTCTCATGGCTCTTGTGACAGGACTGGGAAGGGGACAAGGAAGGGATGAACCCTGACCTACAAGCCTTTTTGGGGGAATGGCCATCAGTTGGACAGTAGCCACTAGACTAGGCATGGGCTAACCTGACAAATCAAATGCCCACCTGCTTCCAGCAATTCCCTCAGGACCTGACTCTGGTCCCCACTGTTCGTTTCTAAGAGGACTCAGTCCCAGGCCAGAGGGTGTTACTAATGGCCACAAGTCCCCTGAGCAGGGAAGACTGGAGATAGGAGAGTAGAGGGGAGTCAGAAGGGGCACGCCCAGGGTTCTCCTGGTTTTCCCCTGTCTCTGTGAGTGTGGGAGGGATCTTATCGCCTTGTTTGTTGCCAGCCTTACTACCTTTTATTCTCTCTCTACTTGTGTTCCGACTTCCCAGACATAGACGAGTGCCGCTTGAACAATGGAGGCTGTGACCACATTTGCCGCAATACGGTGGGCAGCTTTGAATGCAGTTGTAAGAAAGGCTACAAGCTCCTCATCAATGAAAGGAACTGTCAGGGTGAGCAGACTTGGGCCAAGAGAGAGGTACTTGGGGTAGGAGAGCCAAGGACCACAGTCAGAGGGACTCTGTGGACACTATGAAGTCTCCATCAGGCAGTATTAGCCGGCTAGTTCCACAATGGCCTATACAGCTTGGCAAGAAGGGAAGGATGGGTTTTGCCCCAATGCCTGTGCTTGGCAGGCTGTGGCCTGCATCTACCTAGGAGGGCCTAGGTAGACATTGCTGATCCTAGGGCTGGGCCCATGAGTGGGCACTTTCAGTTTGAGGAGGAGAGCTAAGACCCCTCACTTGGGGCCTTCATCTGAGCAGGGTCAAGTACCCCCAAACAGTTTTAGTGGCTTGAATTCTTGTCTCTCTTTCCAGACATAGATGAGTGCTCTTTTGATCGAACCTGTGACCATATATGTGTCAACACACCAGGAAGCTTCCAGTGCCTCTGCCGTCGTGGCTACCTGCTCTATGGTCTCACCCACTGTGGGGGTAAGCCAGCTTTCACTCCTGTCACCCTGAGCCCATCATGCAGAAATGGAAGGAAGAAAGCTTTTGGAGGACAGTGGGGAGAGCAGAGCATCCCCAGCAGTGTCCCTTAGCACCCTCCTCTGCTCTCAGATTGCAGCCCCACAGTCTGTAGGAGTGGAAGACTTTAAAAGCAGGTGATCTTGACCCTTTCCTAATCATTCCTTTGACTGGAATAGAAATAAGGGTGGTTCTAGGTTTGAGCTCTTTTCTGAGAGCAGATGTCATTGTGGGATGCCCTCAACTCTAACCAAATGCCTACAACCTGGTTTTTACCCCTCCTCATACCATTGCCTGTCTGTCCCCCAGATGTGGATGAATGCAGCATCAACCGGGGAGGCTGCCGCTTTGGCTGCATCAATACACCTGGCAGCTACCAGTGTACCTGCCCCGCAGGCCAGGGCCGGCTACACTGGAACGGCAAGGATTGCACAGGTGGGTGGCACCCTCTACTGGTTATAGCTGGCACAGCCGTTTCAAAAGGAAGTTGGTGGCCATGGGAAAGCTTCTAGGAGTAATCCATGAGAAAAGATTAGGGAAGACTTGAGGTGTATCTGGGTGGGGGATATAGACATATGAGTTGCAGACATGAAGTCTCTGCAAGTAGAATACTAGTTTTTGGGTAGCTAATTCTCTTTCCCCCAGATTACCCAGCTGAGGGAGAACATGAGAGGCCTCTCTCCCCTCTAAAACCAAAAATACCAAACCCATTGCCATAGAGTTAGGTGAATTTGGAATAAAACTGTCCCATAGGGTTTTCAAGATTGTAAATGTTTTATGGAAACAGACGGTCACATCTTCTCCGCCCATGGAACGGATTGGTGGGCTGGAACCGCTTGCTTACCTTTTGGTTAGCAGCTGAGTGAGCATTTAACCACTGTGTTACCATGGCTCCTTCATTCCCTCCCTAGAGCCCGTTAAGTGCCAGGGAAGTCCTGGGGCCTCTAAAGCCATGCTCAGTTGCAACCGGTCTGGCAAGAAGGACACCTGTGCCCTGAGCTGCCCCTCCCGGGCCCGGTTTTTGCCAGGTGCGTGTAGAAGGGTTTGGAGGGCTGGGGGGAGAAGAGAGGAAAGGCTGATTGTCCAGATAGCCCCTCTGCCCCCCTTGGATTCTCCAGCCAGTGAGGGTTGGGGGTGGCCCGAATTGTGACAGGCCCCTTCTCTCAGAGTCTGAGAATGGCTTCACTGTGAGCTGTGGCACCCCGAGCCCAAAAGCTGCTCCTGTCCGCGCCAGCCCAACTGGGAACAGTACACACGCCAACCACTGCCATGGTGAGCACCAGTCCAGAGGCCTTGTTCTGACCCTATTCCCTTCGTATTCAACCCCCCCCACACACACACACACACACTTCCCCCCCCCCCTTAATCCCTCTGGCCCTTTTTCCTGGAACCCCTTGTTGTGCTCTGTAATTCCCCAGCCCTACTGCCTCCCACCCTCTGTTCATAACATCTGATTCCCTAATCCTACTCCCCAGCCAAGTGTCTGGCTTGTTGCTCAATTTCTCAGCACCCTCAACAGCAGTCCCCAGCCTGCAGGGCCCCTGTGCTGAGCTTCTCCCATCCCTCTAGAGGCTGCAGTGCTGTTGGTGAAACAACGGGCCTCCTTTAAGATCAAGGATGCCAAGTGCCGGCTGCACCTGCGAAACAAAGGCAAAATGGAGGAGGCCAGCAGGATGCTGGGGCCAGGTCTGGACTGGGGGCCAGTGGGCTGTCTGGCCACCAAAACCTTCTCACCTTAGGCTCCTCTTCTCAGCAACATCTCCCCTGCCCCTTGAAACCCATGGGTACCCTGAACTCTGGACAGAGCCGGGGGGAGCAGTTGTATATGTATCATTAAGTGCCATCAAGTAGATTCTGACTCATAGCAGCCATGTATAGGGTTGTGGGTTTGAACCACTGCCCTTGAGTTAGCAGTCCAGTGCTTATCCTACAGCACCACACTAGGACAGTCCAAGAAAGGCCCAGGATATCACCCCACATCTCCCAACTAATTAGAACTGAGACTGAGGATGGAGCTCAGGGTATCTGGAGAGGTCTGGGCTGGGAGTGAGCATGGTTCCTGCCTCAAGGGGGTGCTCTCAGGTTGACAAGTCCTCTCCCCCAGGTGGTGCCCCCTGCTCTGACTGCCAGGTCACCTTCATCCACCTCAAGTGTGACTCCTCGAGGAAGGGCAAGGGCCGACGGGCCCGGACCCCTCCAGGCAAGGAGGTTACCCGGCTTACCCTAGAACTTGAGGCCGAGGTCAAAGCTGAAGAAACCACAGGTGGGACTGAGGGCACTGTTGGGAGGATGGCCATCACAGGGAAAGGGTGGAACCCAAGAGCTCGTCCTTACCACAGCCCTCCTAGCTCCCAGCTTTGCTCCCCTAGTTCTTATGCTCAGTTATTCTTTCCTTCTCTTCCTTCCCTGAATTGTACCACCATGTATCACCAGCTGGCTGTGGGCTGCCCTGTCTCCGACAGCGGATGGAGCGGCGGCTGAAAGGGTCCCTCAAGATGCTCAGAAAGTCCATCCACCAAGACCGCTTCCTGCTGCGCTTGGCAGGCCTTGATTACGAACTGGCCCACAAGCCGGGCCCAGGAGCTGGGGAGCGAGCAGAGGTGGTGGAAGCCTGCAGGCCCGGGCAGCACCGTACTGGGACCAAATGTGGTAAGGAAGCTCTCAGGGGGAACTGGTCGGGGGGTTGGGAGGGCTCAGCTTGAGCCCAGTTCAGAGCAGGATCCTTTATGGTCTCAGTTGCATTTTAAATTGTGAGAAGGCCACAGCACTCCAACCTGCCACCATCCCCTCCTTGGGTCCCAGGCTGAAATCCAGAAGGACATCAGGCTGGGCCAACCACCCTCCTGCACACAACTTTGGTCCCATGACCCCTAAGCAGGAGTCCATTTTTTCCCTGAGGAAAAGATTCTCTCTGAATCTGGGGGAGTGGGGAGGGGAGTCCCAGGCCTGGGAGGTGGGGAGTGGGGGGTGGGTAGCTAGCACGGCCGACTCTCCCTCAGTCAGCTGCCCGCAGGGAACGTATTACCACGGCCAGACGGAGCAGTGTGTGCCATGCCCAGCGGGCACCTTCCAGGAGAGAGAAGGGCAGCTCTCCTGCGACCTTTGCCCTGGGAGTGATGCCCACGGGCCTCTTGGAGCCACCAACATCACCACATGTGCAGGTGCCAGGGGAACAAACAAAACAGACTGGGGTAGGGTGGGCACTGGGATGCCCTTGGGCATGGGGTTTCCCTAAGAGCAGGCCCAGGTTCCAGGCCATTCTCCTAGTCCGTCCTGTTTGTGTGCCCCTGCTCCCTGAGACTGGATGAGCCCATGGGGTGACCTAGGACCTTCCCCATCAGAGTTGGGCCCTTGGTTCATTGCAGGTCAGTGCCCACCTGGACAACACTCTATAGATGGGTTCAAACCCTGCCAGCCATGCCCACGTGGTACCTACCAGCCTGAAGCAGGACGGACTCTCTGCTTCCCATGTGGTGGGGGTCTTACCACCAAGCATGAGGGGGCCATCTCCTTCCAGGACTGTGACACCAAAGGTGAGAGGCTGCTTACTTCCCACTGGGGCAGGCTGTCTCCAGCCCCAGCTGATTAAAAAAAAAAAAAAAAAAAACTCTCCAAGTCTCTAGAACAGACCTGAGAATGAGTGGACTTCAAAAAGTGTGTGTGTGGAAAAATGGAATTAGAAGATGGAAAATAAAAACTTTATTTCTCAACATAAGCTCCATCAAGTTCAAGATTGTGTAAGCAAGGTTACTAGCCATTAAGTTTATCCCTTAAAAACTGACGGTCCTGGGAATTTAACCATGCCAATACAGTCTCTCTCTTTTTTTTAAATAAAACTTTTTATTGTGAATTGAGTGAAAGTTTAGAGAGATATCAGTCCCACATTCAACAGATCATACACTTTTTTCATTACAATGATCCCAATTCCCTCATGTACCCTCAGTTAACAGTATTTACATCCGTTCACTTTAAATGTATTTTTACATTATTAACTGAAGAAAAATGGGTGCCCTTTAAGAATTTTTTTTTGAGATTAGAAAACAAAACAGTCAGAAGGAGCCAAATCAGGATGGTAAGGTAAGAGATACATTGAAACTTGCAAGATGGCCCTTGTTTGATGAGGAGGAGGAGCAGGAGCATTCTTGTGATGGAGAAGGGCTCTCTGGTTAGATAGAGCTTTTCCAGGCGTTTTTCTGCTACAGTTTTGGGCTAACGTTCTCAAAACATTCTCCTAATAAGCAGATATTTTTGTTCTTTGGCTTTCCAGAAACAACAAGCAAAATGCCTTGAGTATTAAAAAAAAATAAAAATAAAAATAAAAATGGCTCCCATGATCTATGCTCTTGACTGGTCCACTTTTGCTTGACTAGACCACGCCCACCTTTTGGTAGCCATTCCTTTGACTGTTGTCTTCAGGACTATACTGGTAAAACCATGTTTCATCTCCTGTTAACAATTCTTCAAAGAAATGTTTCAGGATCTTGATCCCACTTGTTTAAAATTTCCATTGGAAGCTCTGTTTTTGTCTGTAGCTGATCTGCACCCAACAGTTTGGGCACCCATCCAATGGAAAGTTTGTTCAACTTTAATTTTTCAGTCAGAATTGTATAAACTGAACCAACTGAGATGCCTATGGTGTTGGCTATTGTTTCTGCTGTTAATCGTCTGTCCTCTTCAATTAGAGCACGGACAAGATTAATTTTTTCCTCACAAATTGATGTGCATGGTCTGCCACTGTGGGCTTCATCTTCAACATCATCTCGACCCTTCTTAAAACGAGTTATCCATTTGTAAACTGCTGATTTCTTTGGGGCACTGTCCCCATAAACTTTTTGTAAAGCATCAATGATTTCACCATTCTTCCACCCAAGCTTCACCAAAAACTTGATGTTTGTTCTTGCTTCAATTTTAGCAGAATTCATGGTGCTCTGACAGAGGTTCTTTTCAAACTGATGTCGTTTCCTTCTTACGGTCTCAAACTAGATCCTGTTCAGACATGTTATAACAAGTTAGTACGAGTTGTTTTGGTGCAATAATTTTTTAAAATCTTACACTCTGTATTTACCACACTATCCTCCCCACATTGGAAAAAGGCCAGATGTTTGACCAAGTACATGGTCCTGCTTACAGGACGAATCCTGACTTGTCACCTGTCCCAAGTCTGGGAATGAGGGAATCATGAACAGTCCCCTCTGTGGAAAACTGGTAGCCCATTCCCTCAGTACCCAAATGAATTTCTGTATAGTTTCTATGCCCAGTGTCAGAAGGATTAGCACTGTAGCCAACTATTCTGTGAAGTTTATTTTCCCTAGGCTTAAAAAATTCTGGTATGACTGGGAAAGGATGGGACCCTGGAAAGAACTTTGCTGTCCCTGATCTTATTCTCCATAGTGTGTCTTGTCCATCCCATGCCCTAAAACTGCCACCTGACCACCACCCTTGACTCCTGTGTTTTCCCTTCACTGCAGTCCAGTGTTCTCCTGGGCACTACTACAACACGAGCATCCACCGCTGTATCCGCTGTGCCCTGGGCTCCTACCAACCCGACTTCCGGCAGAACTTCTGTACCCGCTGTCCAGGAAATACAAGCACTGACTTCGATGGTTCTACCAGTGTGGCCCAGTGCAAAAGTATGTGGCAGGCCAAGCCATGAAAAGGGGTTGGAGAGGCCTGGGAGCAATGTGTAAGGGAAGAAAGAGAGCAGGGCTGGGGGTGGATAGGTAGAAAAGTCTCACCTTCCACCTCTGCCCTGCTGCACACAATTTCAAGGTCAGCTGCTAGGCTGGGACCTGCAGCACTCTTGGAGCTAGGTAATGGGGGAGGGAGAGTCAGGTGAGATGAGGACAGAAAGGAAGGTGGGCAAAGAACTTGGAAAGTTAGATGAACTACAAAGGTAGCTGCTCAAATATTCTGACATCCACTTCAGAACTGCACTGACTTCACTTCTCTCTCTTGCTCTGTTCACTGGGGCTTGGCTACAGATCGGCAATGTGGTGGGGAGCTGGGTGAGTTCACCGGTTATATTGAGTCTCCCAACTATCCGGGCAACTACCCAGCCAGCGTGGAGTGCATCTGGAACATCAACCCCCCACCCAAGCGCAAGATCCTTATCGTGGTACCCGAGATCTTCCTGCCATCTGAGGACGAGTGTGGGGACGTCCTCGTCATGAGAAAGAACTGTGGGTGGCTGCAGAGCTGAACCAAGGGAAGGGAGTTGGAATCTTTTTGGGAAGGAGAGAGAGAGCAGATGAGCACAGAAAGAACTGGGACAGTGAAGTTAGGGAGCCATAAGGGCAAAACGGTGAAGGAGATCTTGGAAAAAGTGAAACTTACAAAGGGAAAAGGCAATGAATGAATGAATGGTACAGGTTAGGACAACAGAGAAAGAAACCTGCATTGGTGCTAGTGGTGTTCCATGTGTCTCTTTCCTGTCTCCTCCATTCAAATATCCAATGTCTTATACTGTGTGAGCATACGGATGTCAAAGAGGAGCCAAACCCAGGGCAGACTGAGAGAGAGACAGAGAGTGAGTGTGTGTGTGTGTGTTATGGCAGGGGGAGGAGGGTGATCTGTCAGTGTGATCCCTTCCTCTAGGGGGCTAGGGTAAGCTGACCTGCTGCTTGTCTCCCCAGCCTCCCCATCCTCCATTACCACCTATGAGACATGCCAGACCTATGAGCGCCCCATCGCCTTCACGGCCCGCTCCAGGAAACTCTGGATCAACTTCAAGACAAGTGAGGCTAACAGTGCCCGGGGCTTCCAGATCCCCTACGTTACCTATGATGGTGAGCAAGGCCAGGAGAGTTAAGGAGAGGGGGAAGGAAAGGAGGGGCTTTGTTCTTGGGAGGGGGCTAGCGGAGCAGGGAGAGTTCCCACACTAAAGTCCCTCCTCTTGGCTGGCTTTGCAGAGGACTATGAGCAGCTGGTAGAAGACATAGTACGAGATGGCCGCCTCTATGCCTCTGAAAACCACCAGGAGATTTTAAAGGCAAGTGGATTTTAACCACAATAATGAAAGCCAACACTTAATGAGCTTGGACAATGTGTCAGGCAACATGCTAAGTGCTTACCTGAACGTTCTCATATGAGACATACACTCACTAGAGAAGGAGGGTGCTTTAGTCATTCCCACTTTACAGCTGAGAAAACTGAGGCACAGAGAGGTAAGGAGCCAGTCTAGTGGTAAAGTTAGGATTGAGCCCAAGCCCACCTGACTATAGTGGTGGACCAGATCCCCAGTGTCACTCACACTGTTACACTCTGGGGAAAATTTGGATGAGAAAGGAAAGAGGAAGAGTGAAATATCCCCTACCTCTTCCCAAGACATCTAATTATCTCTCAATTCTATCTTTTCACAAACTCGTTGAAGCTCCCTTGTATAGAAAATGAAACAGAAACATGCTTTTTCATAAATCTTCCCTTTCCTTACTCCTTCCCCTGTCCTCACAAAGAAGTAGCAGATCTGGCATGGCATTTCTTAGAATGAATTACCTAAATTTCTTTTAAAGATAAAGAGTTCTATTATTAAAGAATGGAGTTGACACCCTGGGTCGCTGATCTCAATTTCAGGAAAACCTTACTTAAGAAACTAATCCTAGTCATAGAATCGCCCCTCATCAGTTATCACTGCATAAAAAGTTTTGTCTTTATTAATAGTAAAATATTTATATTATAAAGATTATCATGACAATATAACTCACAAAACTTGCAGATTTCAAAAGAGCATCAATTCAATGATGTTTTTCAAACATTTTCTAAGCATTTCAACACCCTAATTTAAAATGAAACACTCTGTGGAACTCCAGTACTTAAAGTACAGTTGTTCTGATTAAATTGAGAGAGGCTAAAAAAAGCTCTGCTTCTTTTTGTTTGGCCAGGGGTAGGACAGGCTGGGGGCACTGATGCCAAGGAAAGAGCACTAGTCTAGGAGCCAGGAGATCTGCATTCCAGTTCACAGTGTCTAGCATGTAACAACAACAACAGTACCTAGGAGGCTCTCTATACAGCATACTGCTCTTTCATAAAGGGTGGTCAAGAAAGGCCTCTCTGAGGAGAAGAGACCAGAATGAGAAGACCAGGGGCATTCCAAGCAAAGGAGCATGGAAGCGGGTTGATGTGTTCAAAACAGGGAGGCCAGTGTGGCTCAGTAGAGTGAAGGGGAACTGAAGTGGTCTAATAGGGGAGGTTGTTGTTATGTGCCGTGGAGTCGGTTCCGACTCATAGCAACCCTGTACAGGGTTTCTGAGATTGTAAATCTTTACAGGAGCAGAAAACCTCATCTTTTCCCGCTGAACAGCTGGTAGTTTCAAACTGCTGACCTTGCGGTTTGCAGCCCGATTCATTACTACGCTACCAGAGCTCCTTAATGGCAGGGGACAAATCACATACAGCTTAAGGGCTGTGGAAGGGACTCAGGCTTTACTATCATTCAAAGAGGGCACAAACTGACTTTAAAAACCAAAAAGTTCATTCTGACTGCTGCTGGGGAGAAAAGACTGTAGAGCAGCAAGTGTAGAGGACTGGAGACCAGCTAGGAGGCTATTTCAGTAATCCAAGCGAGAGATGACGGTGGGCAGGACCAGAGCAGTAGGTACATACGATGAGAATAGGTCAGGAGGTGAGTGTATTTAGAACGTAGAGTTGACAGGATTTGCTGTGGCTATGAACAAGAGAGAAGAGTCAGGATGACTCCAAATACTGGGGCCTGAGCAATGGCAGGAGGGAGCAGTGACTGGGCTGTAGGATTCTGAAGAAGGAGCAAGTGGGGGGATGGGAATCCAGAGTTTATTTCTAGGTCTGTTCAGTTGGCAATGCCTATTAGACATCAAGAGGAGCTGTTAAGACTGGTGTTCCTTCTCCCTTACCTCCAATACTGAGGCTGACTTCAGCACTGCCATTCTCTGCAGGACAAGAAGCTCATCAAGGCTTTCTTTGAGGTGCTGGCCCACCCCCAGAATTACTTCAAGTACACAGAGAAGCACAAAGAAATGCTGCCAAAATCCTTCATCAAGCTGCTCCGCTCCAAAGTTTCCAGCTTCCTGAGGCCCTACAAATAGTATCCCTAGACACAGGGATCCCGGTTTTGAAGCTCCCAGACTCCTTAGCCCTCAGAGCCGGCAACACCCACCCACAGACAAGGAACTCTCTCCTCTCTCTTATTAGAGAGAGACAAAAATCAGTACAGACCAGGCACTCCCTTTCTGTCTTTAGTTTCCTCTCCTCGTCTCTCTCTGTCTCTCTTTTTATAGTTTCCCTTTTCCTACATGCTCCCTGGAAAAGCCATTCAATGCTGGCTCTATTTCCCCTGAGGGGTAACGGAATAGTACTGTCCTCCCCAACCAAACTGCTTATTTCACCAGCTCACATTCTCATCAGCTCAGAAGGGTGCTGGAGGCCCACAAAGGAAGTGGGTCTAGTGAAGAATGGGGAGGGGGATGAGGGGGCTTCTGTCATTATAGGGTTGTGCCTTGCTAATCAGGAGCCAAAACGTCCCTTGGCTGTATACCTCCAGGGTGACTCTAACAGCCCAGGGTCCTGCCAAAGAAGCCTTTGACTTACAGCCTTGATGCTGGAACTTCTGGGGCACAAGGCTTGTGGCCCTGGACCACCCACACAGCCCATCTCCTTCCTTCCCCACATGTCTGCCTGGGGTCTACTCCATAAGGGCTTACAGATGGCTCACACCACTGGGCTAGTGGACACCGGCTGAATAAGGAAGAGCAGCAGGCATTACGTGGTGAATATGCCTTTAGGGCTCTCCAAGAGAAAGACTATATAGCTCTGCAGGACAGAAACCAGGTTTTAAAGCATCACCAAAAAAAAAAAAAAACAAAAGGAAAGAAAATGTATCTAAAGACTAGACTACAGAATGATTAGAAGCCAGCCTCAAACACTAATCCCTTTTCCTGTCTTCCCTGGCCCAGCCATTCCCTCATCCCCACTAAAGTGCTCCCTGGGGGAGCCCTACTACTCTTGCTAAGTGCTGTCCTTGAAGAAACATGGCTGCTGACCAGAAGCCAGCTTGAGCCTCATCCCATAGTTGTCTATCCCTTGTAACTCCAGGTGGCTTGTTGGCTCCACCAAAGAGGACCCTGCTCTGCGGTCAGCCTAGAGCCACCTACCTCTGGCCCCAGGCCATGGGCAGCAAGAGGAATGTGTGTGCACTTGGCGAGCCTTCTGCCCACCTTGTCCACATCTAATAAGTGCAATCATTTAGAGTCTTTCTATGTTGTCTAGATGGAGGGTATTTTGTTTTCTGGGTTTTTGTTTTGTTTTGTTTTTTCTCTATTAGAACCCTATTTATAGCTACCCAAGAGAGGAGAATGTGTGTTTGGAGTGGAAGAAAAAAACGTTTTGAATCTCATGAACCTTGAGTCCCGAAGCATCTAATCTGTCTTACTTTCCACCAATGGCTACTCAGACTTTAGGGCCCTCAGCTGGGGTAAACCAAGACAATAGCTCAGAAGCACATGATGTGTAGGACAGGAATTCTGGGGACTTGATGGAGCAGGTGGGAGAGACACTTGTGTTTGCTAAACCAATCCTGCCAACCCTATGCCTCACCATGGACTCATCATGGACCTCGTGACTGTGGCAGCCAATGGAACTGGTCAGTAATTCTCTACCCCAAGAGAGAAAACCTCTGTCTTTTTTCTTATTCATCTTCTTTTTCCTAATGTGCACATCTCCAGTCTACAATGGAAGAGGATCAGGAGAAAGCCACCTAGAGATGGGTGTCTTAGGGTCCTGAGGCCAGAGACAAGACTTTGGGAGCCAAGAGCAGAACAGTTACCCAGGTATGAAGTTGAAGGCACTAGATGTTTGCCTGACTTTGTTCATTCTTCCTACACCTACCTGTTTGCCATTCCCTCTCAGAATTAACTTCAAACCTAACTTCCTCAACTACTGTTTTTCAAAATGAATAGCCAACAAGTTCATGCCCAATTCCAAATGCTACACATACTCCATCCTCAATCCAACTGCCTATAAAATCACTTTCCATCTTCTTCCTCCAGTTCCCTCAAAGCTGTAAACTAGCTGATCAAAGGCAAAGGCAACCACTGATTTTCTGTCCCCAGCTCCTATATCCTGAAGAGATTCAACAGTAAATAAAGGAGCCCAACTCCCACCTACTTCCATTCACCAGCCCAAACAGCCTTAGCAATGGGTAACCATTGTCACAGCTAGCGCCATGCACATCCACTAACCAGCACCAGGACCTCGTGAGGGTGGAGCGTCTCACTGCCTGGGTCAAAGAGCTGCTAGAAAGATGCAAAATGGCTGTTTCCAAGTAGGGGAAATTGTCATTCAGTAGGAGTGTCTACACTTCCCAGAGGATGTCAGGAGAACCACTAGTCAACTTTCTCCACCTCCACAGGGAATTCTGATTCCTCGCTTGCTGCCATTTCAGACCTCTCTTGGAAGGTTAAACAAAAGGGCTTCCCAATTTAGGCCTTCAGGCTCTGGCTTCTTTTCTTTGCCTCTCTTGTCACTGCACACATATGAGGGACTTCAAAATGTTAGTAGAAAAAGGAAGTGAAAAGAAAATGGAATTTTCCCACAAACTTTTTGAAGCTTCCTCATACACCGAAACACTTCCTACAATCATTTACTCCATAGTTTCTGCAAATGATTTCCACAGTAAAGGTCACTAAACTCCTTAGACAGATCTTGATCAGAAGGTGATGTCCATCAAGCTTAATTTAGATCATCCAATTGGGGATTAAGAAAACGAGCAGTTTCTGCTGAACCCATGAGGAAGCTAGAGACTAAGTGGTTGGGAAATGAGGAATCAACACCACTCAGGGAGTCACTAGGCCTTTATAGGCCAGACAGAATAAAGGAAGTATTTTACCAGTGTAGGGAAAGTGGGAAGATAATATATATGGTAACACTTCAAAAACCAGCCCAGAGACCTCTCTGCAGGATAGTTGCTCTCAAAGGCCACAGTGCTCTGGGGCCTCATTCATTTTAGTGCAAAGCCTGCCCTGATCTCAGTCAGAATGAGAAGCCATTACCCAAAGGGCTCCAAGCACCAGATAACACATAACAGAAAGGTACTTATATCCTCAGCAACCTGCCAATCCCTTCTGACTTCAGGCCAGGCCTAATCCCTAAACTTGAGAGAATATAGTCAGGAAAAATCAACCAAAGCCTGGACTTGAGCTGCCAACCTCACCCCTAAGAATCCTGGAATGTTGACATTGCGCTGGGCCTGCTGTGACTTCCCTAGGATTTGGTTTGTCTGAGGTGTTGGCTCAGATCTATGGCTGAAAGTTCAGTAATACAGTCCTGGCCTCTGGCCCTCATGAGACCTTGTATACCTGAGAAGTGCTCTCCATACTTGGGAGTGACTGGAGTGGATTAGATGATGTCTCAAAATGTCAGAAATGTTATAAAGCATTCAAGCTTTTGTATTTGCTGCTAACTTCAATATAACAGCCTAACTAGTGGAAGGGAGGCTAAGTGTAACTGACCATAAGCAGAAAATATTAACTGCCTGGTTTCCTTCTTAAGCACAGTTGAGAGAAAAGTGAAAGCAAACAACACAAGGATATCTTTAGATTTGACCTAGATGAAAGGTAACACACCCTTGTCCTTGGGCGATTTGGACTAGGAATACTTTTTTAAAATGTATAATTAGAGGGACTAGAACCCCCAGTTTGGTTACCAGCTTATCTAGACAACAGATTGTAGCAGTTTGGACAAGCTGAAATTTTTTTTCTGTGTGAGTTGAAATGTCAGAGAATAATCATTACTATGTGGGAGGCCTTTTTTTTTTTTTTTTTTTTTAATGCAGAAGAAATCTCAAAAGACTGTGTTTATATCTGCCTTCCACAGCTGTCAATATAGTAAACATCTACACAATCAACAATAAACAGCAAAAGATGCAGTTCATAGAATATTTTGCACTTCGGGAAAAATGTTATCTGAACTTGTAAAAAGATATGTTTGGATTTTGTATTGTCTTTTTTATTATTATTATTAAAATACTAAATGGAACTCCTCAAGTTGGCACCTCTTCCTCTGTCTCAGTAGCTTTTCCTAGAGTTGGAAAAAGCTTTGGACAGACATAGTGTCTTCTGGCTTCCCAATAGGACCTAGCCAAGTTTTTCCATGTTGCATCTTCTTCCTAGTGATTTTTGAATTTGAAAAGGCTTGTCCCTTTGAGTATCTTGATAAAAGCAGTGTCAAGAATTATCTCCTGGAGGGGGCTAGAGGGGAGGATGCTTACAAAGTAGGGGAAATTCAGAGCACTGTTCCTCACCACAATGCAGTTCCCCAAAGCTGGCCAGCTCACAGGTGGCTCAGATAACTTCCTTAATTAAGATTTCCTGGTGTGCTACTGTAGCATAAGCAGTGGAGTGCTAACTGCAAGGTCGTCGGTTCAAATGCACCAGCTGCTCCTCAGAAAGCCTATATAGGGTCACTATGAGTCAGAATTGACTCGTCTGCACTTAACAACAACTCTAGCAAAGTACAAGCACTGAGGGTCACCCAAGGTTTTTTTAGTTTATTTTTATGCAGTACACTATTAGTCAAGGTAGCTCTGGTAGCGTAGTGGTTACGAATCGGGCTGCGAACCTTAAGGCCAGCAGTTCAAAACTACCAGCCGCTCCGCGGGAGAAAGATGAGGCATTCTGCTCCCGTAAAGATTTACAGCCTCAGAAACCCTGTACAGGGTCGCTATGGGTCGGATCCGACTCGACGGCACTTAACAACAACAACAACAACACTATTAGCCACCAAATGGAAGATTTTTGTAATACAGATCACTCAGCCACTACCACCATCACTACTACTATAAGCATGGGCGAGCAATCTCCAATCTCTTTTATAAATGAATGGTCCCAATTTCTAGGCTCAGAGTTGATAGATAAAAATAGTTCCAATCACATAATTCCCTGACACAAAATCTTATTGGTTTTAAAGCCTAGATGATACAATAATTTAAGAATATGATTTGAGGAGCAATGAGAGGTCTGCCTTATTTAAAAATACATTGGGTTGGCCTCCCAGAAACCTGAAATTCCACTTTGGCATCGATAACAAAGATACATACCTTCATTCTACAAATATTTACTGAGCTTTTATTATGTGCAAGGCTCTCATAGCTTGAAAACAACAGCCATTCTCAAGATCCATTCTCCTCATGTAACTTTCTGAATGTAAATGAGCATCTTATATAAATTTCCCAACAGGAGGGATAATCCAATCTATTTGGTGGGTAGAAGTATAAATAAATTCATTGACATCCTATTTTATATATTAACTTCCTGTGAGTTTGATTTTGTTTGGGAGACAAGAACACTTTGGTGTGTATTGACAAAATCACATTTCTAGAACTACAAAGCTGAAGACCATAACCAGAAAACCATAACTACACCAACTAAGAGCTATCCTCTTAGATTTCTCCCTTAAACCTCTTCTATTCCCAGAACACCAGTCTTCTTTACTTCCTAGAACACCAATAAAGGAGTACCAGTCAAGGCTGATGAGCTATCGGTCTGCCTATATTGAGCAGTCTTTAATGTGAGGTACAAGGAGCTCTGGTAGTATAGTGGTTACGAATCAGGTTGTTAACCTCAGGGTCAGCAGTTCGAAACTACCAGTTGTTCTGCAGGAGAAAGAGGAGGCTTTCTGCTCCCATAAAGATTTACAGCCTCGGAAACCCTATACAGGGTTGCTATGAGTCGGAACCGACTCCACGGCACATAATAACAATGTGAGGTACATGAAAACTTTCCAAGGGGCACATAGGCAAGAAAATCAAATCTAAGAAGTCTTAAGGGAATTAATATTTAGATTCTCAACTTGCATATGAAATCTTGCCTAAAACTTACCTTTTTGAGAGCCACTCTGCATATTCATTTCCTCTTTCACCATAGTCCTCATCCCAGGCATATCCCTCACCTACACTGAATGATCCACTAAGTAAAAGCCTGGGAGGTAATAAGAAAGGGTTGTTTCCCCTCCTCATAAATAATTTAGGAGTCCTGGTGTGGCACTGTGTGTTAATGTGCTGGACTATATGGTTGCTTTGAACCGCAAGGTCGGCAGTTCAAGCTCACCAGACCCTCTTGGAAACCCTATACATGGTCCTATGAGTCAGAGCCGATTTGCTAGCACTTAACAACAACAGCAATAAATAAGGAGCCCTGGGTTACTAACCCTTGGACTGCTAACAACAAGGTCAGCAGTTTAAATCCACAAGTGGTTCCTCAGGAGAAAGATGGAGGCTTTCAGCTTCAGGAAGATTTACAACCTTGGAAATGCTACACAGGGTCTCTATGAGTTGAAATCAACTCAAGGGCACACTACCACCACCAAAAATAATTCTGTTAAAGAGAAAGTTGTGCTCAGAGCCAGGGTACTTTGGCTAATGTTGGAATTAGGATACATGTTGAAGTTAAGATACAAATGTTGGATGACTGGAATTAAGAAACATGTCATTTCTTCCATCCATGGACTACTTTTCAAGAATACATTGGTTTTAGGATCATTCCCACCCCCTCCATACACAGAGTAGACAGGGATGGGCAACTTGGACATTGGCTACCCAAAGTGGGGGGCTACAAAGGCAAGAAGTGAACCTAGATCCAGAAGGCGTGGAGGAAGGTGGAATCTCCACTAAGTAGTATCCAATCTGTGTAGGTGGGGCTGATGAAAGGAAGTGCGGATAGGTCTCTTGTGATACAATAGTGAATAATTGTAATTGAGGACTGATTATGAGGGTTGGAAATGTAAAGGTAGATGTTTTGTAGCAAGGAGGGGAGTGATTAACTGCAGTCTAGGAGTGGAGGTCCCTGGAACCATCAAGGGAGAAGAGCGGAGAGTGGGACCCTACCCAGAGAAGCAGTGACACCAGAGATGGAGGCAGAGACGATGACGTGGCGAGATGGAGCAGCTGGGGACTTTGGACCCAGAGAGGGAGAGGGGCTGTGTGTTGATGACCAGGGGGCAGGCTTGCAGGGTATATACCCTTTTGTTGGTTGATGATGCATGGAATGGATTTAACCATGGCAATGAAACAATATGCGATAGGATGAATGTAAAACTAATGTTCTCCCATGTAAACCACCACATAATTCACAATAAAACATTAAAAAAAAAACCAAAAAAAAAAAAAAACATTGCTTTTGAGGGAGAGTTCCCCAAGAAAAAAGCAGAGAGCAGCAGATGCTAGAAAGGACTTTTTTCTTCTAAACATAAGCAATTATTTTCAGCTTTCCTCAAGTCATCTTTAAGACTAGTTATTAGTGGAAAATAAAAGTATTTTCAGTCAAAAGCAATAGGTTAATGAGGCTGCTTCTTTTAAGTCTACCTGAGATGTTCCCAGAACTATGAAAATTTCTAAGATACATAAAGCTGTAAATAGAAAATTTATATTATAATAAATTATTTTATAAAATTTATATTTTCTACCTCCCACTTGATGGCACTTAACAATAATTGACCCAAAATAAAATTGTTAGCTGCTTAGTCCATTAGTCCCTAGAAAATACCACCTTTTCTTTTATTAAACACATTTTTTAAGTTTGATAATGAAATCTCACAAAACTATTGTGGTTATTTCTAACTGTTAGACATGATTCTTATTTAAAATATTTTCCAAAAGTCAAACATCACAGTTCTACACACACACACATTTACCAAGGGGATAACATGCCTTCTCTCCTATTTCCCACTTAATGAACTGATATATTTAGTTGTATTGTACATGACAATACTACAAATTATGAAATGAGACATAGTATTACCTTTTTTTCATAGCTTATACTGTTGTCAAGTGCCATCAAGTCAGTTCCAACTCATAGCAACTCTCTCTATATAGGGTTTCCTGCTGTGGCATTGTGGGTTAATGTGCCAGACTGCAAAGCTGTTTGAACTGCAAGGTTGGTGGTTCAAGCTCACCAGCTGCTCCTTGGGTTCTATGGGTCAGAATTGACTCGACGGCACTTAACAACAACAACAACAACAAGGAAAGGCTGGTGGGTTTGAACCGTGGAAAATGGAATTAAAAGATAAATGCATTTTTCCACTGATTTTTTTGAAGCCTCCTTGTTCTCTGTTAGAAAAAGAATCTGGAAATCAGGATTTGATGAACAAGGAAGGTGCCTCTGAGAGAAAAGGTAACTAATTTTTAAGACTGAAACTGAGATTAGTGATTTGATAACAAATCCTTGTACAAGTCCTGTGAGTTCCATTTCTTTGTTTTTAATATAATTAAAGGAGGGCTCTAACTGATAGTAATTGGTAATAGTACTCATAGATCACTTTATGATTGTTGGCATATTATTTACTAGTTCAAAGACTCAAAGGCTACCATTATAACCAATCTCTTCCTTTCCCAATTATTTAAATGAGTTTCCTCAGTGCTATGTCTATAAAAATAAAAAGCAGGTAAAGAATTGATGTTGTACTTTATATCTCCTTCTACCATGAGGTAATATTTATCCATGAATAACTGAAAAAATTGGGAGGAACACCATACTTCTTATTAAGAGATGCACTTTCACTAAAAAATTGAAGGGACTTAACAACAATCTTTATGGAAGGAGTCCTGGGGTGGCACTGTAGGATAAGCACAGAACTGCTAACCACAAGGTTGGCAATTCAAACCCACCAGCCGCACCTTGGGAACCCTATGCAGGGTTGCTATGACTGGGGACAAACTGGACAGCACTTAACAACACCCACCTTTACGGAAGCAGATCTCTAAGTCTTCCTTCTGAAGAGTGACCAGGTGGGTTCAAACCACCACCTTTCCATTAAGCACTCACTGCTAAACTATTGTATCACTAACCATCAACCATGGTATCCCCACCGTTAGCATCTATGACTTCAGACTCAGACACTAGCTTTCCAGAATTTGTATTAAGTGTGTAATGGGAGAGGTGATTAGCCAATCAGATTAGAAGCTGCAGGGAATGTGAGAAAGGACAGATGTATCTTTGATTATGGAAAAAGAGTGGGAAGGAAAGGGAGGGCAAAATCCTGAGTTCTATTCCCGGCTCTGTTTTTAACAGCAATTTATGCCAAAACTACTTAAATAGCTTCATTGTCTCTCTAGAGCAATAAGAAATAACTTGTCAAATTCTCATCCAAAAGGGACAGAAAGAGGACCTTATAGTCGTCAGACTGTGTCTATTAACCCATTGCCATTGAGTGGATTCCAACGCAGAGCAGCCCTATAGGGTTTTGGAGACTGTATATCTTTATGGGAACAGACAGCCTTTCTCTCTCAGAGCAGCTGCTGGGTTTGATCTATAGCTAGCCTAATGCTTAACCAGGGCTCCTTTAATCTTAGGCCTGGGCCATCAATTGTCACTCATTACCATCTTTACCAACTGGGAACCTACGAAGAACTCTTACTCACCTCTGGAAATAATAAGGCAAAACAAATTTTGAAAATGGGGAGAGAGCTTGTGTAAGACTTTCTGAAAGGGAGTCTTTCTGCTACAGTTCCTCAAACGGGAAGAGAGAAGCAGAATACCTGTACTTCCAGTGGCATTTTTAGCTAACATAGACCCCAAACCCAGTCTTCTATAAATGTTTCTAATGTATGGAAATACTTCTTTAATTAAAAAAAATTTTTTTTAATTTCTTTTCTCAGTTTTTTCTTGTTTTGAGGTGGGGGGAAGGCAGGAAACCTAATAAAAAACGTAAAATTCAAAACTCCAAAAGGATATGTTGCTGTTAAATGCTGTCGAGTGGGTTCAGTCTCACAGCGACCCTGTATTCGGTTTCCCAGGAGAGGCTGCTGGGTTTGAACCGCCGTCCTTGGTTATTATCTTACAGCGCTACACCCACCAGTTTCGCTCCCATTTTACCCCCCAGGTACTCAGTTCCTATCCAATTCGCTATCTAACACTCCTCCTCTTTCATTTATTTGTTGTTTTTTTGTTTTTGTTTTAACCAAATGCTTACTCTAATTTCCCACCAGGTTTTTTTTAATTCCCCTATTCGCTGATAAAGGAAGCAGTAAAAGGGTTTTTGTTTTGTTCATTCCTAAGGGAGCCTACAGGGGAGACTAGTAGCGGGCCTGGAGACTGGGTGTGGGGTGATGAGGGAATGAGGTGGGAGAAGCGCAGAGGGCAGTCAGGGCGCCCTCCCTAAGGACGCAAGCCCCTCCACCGCTACTCGCTATCGTCATCCAAAAAGATGCTATTAATACCTGCAGTCGCTTCCTTCTGAGGATTGGCTTGAAGATCAGTAGCAAAGGCCTGCGGACTGTACAGCGCTTCCGAACCGTAAGGCACAGTCTGCACTGGGCGTGCCGCCAGGAGGGAGCGTAGTGGCTCTGGGCCCTGAAAAGGGTCAGCAGCTCCAGTGCGAATAGTGAGACGCCGGCGAACGCTTCCCTCACAACCTGGGCCTTCGGTCCTCCAGCGTTCTTGAAGCGCACATCTAGCCCACAGGCTGTTGACGTCAAGGCGCAAAGCTCTCTGAGCTTCGGGCTCCTCCCCCGTCTCGTTCTCGAGCCTCAGGTGCAAAGAGTCCCTTGGCGGGACAGGTAGCGGCGCCCGATTTCTATGGCAACGACCCGGCTTAGGAGCCACGACCCAGCCCTGACCGGGGCGTCGTGACGTCACCACGCCCGTCCCCAGGCGCTCGGCCCCGCGGGCCGTGCGTCACCCGAACAGGGGAACTAGGCGGAGCTCCGACAGGTTCGGTTCAGAGCCCAGGTGGCAGGGCTTCAGGGGCCCCGGAACCAGGATAAGTAAAACAGTCACCGCGGCACTGGAGGGTGCGGGGCGGAGCGTGCCCTGTATTTTCTATACGGGTTCCGGGGCCTGGTAGAGGCGTATCCAGAGGAGAAGAAAGTGCGGCGGCCCTGGAACCGGGATATCGCGCGAGGCAAGCTGTGCGAGGGCGGGCGGGCTATGGCGCAGGCGGGTTGCGGGGCCGGCGCTGGTGGCGAGGCCCAGTGCTTGGCGGTCTGTCGGCGGAGTCGACCTCTGGGGCTGTCAGGTTGGTGGCTGCGGAAGAGTGGGTCCACTGTGCTTAAGGCGGGGAGCTGGGCGGGCGCAGGGCCCCAGGAATGCCCTGGCGTGCCCACCTTACTCTGGTCCTAGCTGGGTGGCCGGCCAGCTGGAGAGAGGCCTGACCCATGCCCCACCCGGGGTCCCGGCCCGAGTTCCAGCCCGAGTTCCAGCCCCTTCATTTGGCCCTGCGACTCCGCCCCCTTAATTTCCTAACCTCTTCTCGAGACTGCGCCTGCTCCCCACCTGTGATCCCCCTCACCCCACCCACTGACCCAAAACCTCATCAGGTAATCTTCGATTCATAATTATGGGCTCTGCTAGCCCAGGAACGCTCCCACCACTGCCCAGAGACCCACCAACCCAAGGACTCTCCCCATTCCATTCCAGTGACTCGCAGGACCCCAAGATTCCCACGTTCCTCCTTGTGATCCCCAAATCTTCCTAGGTGAACTCAACTCACTCTATCCCGTGTTCCCCACAAATTCAGTGAGTTGATCAACTGCTTAGCACAACTCCCAGTTTTCCACCCAGTCATCTACATGACCCTCAGTATCTGATGGGCTCTCCCCATGATCCTCATTCAATGTTTCCCCCCTTCATCCTAAAATCACTCTCACCTTCCCATTGTTAATCAGCACATTACTTAAGTGCCCCAATACCATGCTAGTGCCAAGGAGGCTACACAGGTGAATAAGATGTAATAATAATTGGAGGCATCAAAGATTTCTGGAGAGTGTGTTCAAGTTCCAGCTCTGCAGTGGGGCTGTGGAAACCTTGGAGAAGTCCCTTCTTCATACTAAGGCTTCATTTTCTCATCTGTGTATTAATGAGGTTGGGTATAATGATGTCAGAATTTCCTTCCACGTGTGAAATTCTGCAATTCCCAGATTACAATTGTTTTTGCACCCCACTCTAAGGTCCACTTGCTTCATGAACTTTGTTCCCTGGCCCCCATGACCCTGATACTTTTTAAATAGTAAATACCCATCTCCCTTGATCAGGCCCTGTCAGTTAACATGTTTGCAAAGCACAATAGTACTGTGCTTCAATTCAAGACATTGGTATCATAAGAAACCTGGGTTCCAGTTAGATACCAGTTTGACAGTTCAGCTATGGGACTGTAGGCATATCCATTAATCTGCCTGCGCATTTAAGCCTCTATACCTGCTAAGAGAAGATTATAGCAGTGTCTGAGATAATGCATGTTAAGCACTTGGCACTATATGTGGCACATGGATGCTATTGTTAATGTTAAAAGATAATGGAATTTTTTCAAAAACTTTTTGAAACCTACTCATATAAATTAACTTATTCTCTCCAATCCCCAAGAGGTAATTATGTCCACTGCCATGTCCCTGTTTTACATTTTTATGTTTTCAAGTATATGAAGAACACGAAACTCACACAGCGTCTAAGTAACAGAGCTGGGATTTGAACCCATAGCCTTCAAATCCTGTGCTCTTCACTACCTTGCTGCATTGCCTCTCTTGCTTCCCAAACTTGCTGGTTTTCCATGTCATTCACGGCCCTTTATTTCCTATTTTCCAGTACTTTCTAAGCCCAACATCAATTCATTCCATGAGCCCCATAGTTTTTATTACTCTTTGCCCTATAGTTTAGTGATTTACTCATCCCACTGTTTATGATTTTGGTCACATAATCCCTGAGACCTCTGAACGTTAGTACCTCTCTGCCCTTTGTTCAGATGTCCTCTCTAAGTCCTTGGAGCTTCAGTGATCTCACACACCCTTGGGTGTCTCCCACCTCACTGATCCTTTACCCCCACTCATTCATTTTGCTAAGTAACTTACCTCCAGGAATCCATATACTCCAAAACCTCCCTAACCTCTACTGCCGTTGAATTGATTTCAATTTATAGCAACCTTATATAAGGGTTCTGAGATGATAATCTTTATGGGAGCAGACAGAATCATCTTTCTCCTACAGGACAGATGGTGAGTTTGAACCACTGACCTAACAGTTGGCAGCCTATTGCCCAACCCACAACCCCACCAGGCCTCCTTCTAAAACCTTCTAGACCAGTATTACCTCACCCTACAATCTTTTTCTAGTCTCATTGCTGTAGCTCTCTCCACCCCTTCTGCTATCCTCATCCACATCCTGTTATCTGAACCCTTCATTTCAATTGTCCTTCATCTGGTAACCTCCTGATAGGCCCAGCTTCTGTGAAATGAGCCTTTTCTGTTCCCACATTGAACATCCTCCATAGCCTCTTCATACCCCTCTCCCCATTTCCAGTGAGATCCTACCTCTCTGATTCATAGATCTCATGATTTCTTTCCCTCATTTTCTTTCCTTTTCAAACCGGAATTGATTTTTACCTTTTCTCTCTCCTCATCTCCCACAGTGCCTTTTTGCCAAAACCATTCCGCTTGTTTGTCTCCCAAACCATCCTCACCTCACAAAGCTGATAGCAAATTGATTCCCATGTAGATCTCCCTCCCATCCTGGCTCTGCCCTTAATTTTTCTACTCCTATATATCTAACTCCAGGACCAGATGAATGAGCTTGGTTGTCAGCCTTCCTTTCCTTTCACACAGCACTGCCCAACCAAACTTCAGCAGCCTCCTTGGTTTGTTCATAGAAATACGCTATGAGAACTTCTAATGAATTCTCAGCCCTTTAGGTAACAAGGAAATTCTTCCAGCTCAAGCTCGTTGTGTCTCCATGAGGCACTCCCACAAGCCTGTTCTGTTTATTAAGCTGCATGCTGTATGCACCTTCTGGGTAGAATGCTTTGAGTGTCTGTTTCTGCAGTCACATTGCCTTAGGCACAGAACGTACTCTGCTTTGTGTCTTAGTTATCTGTGTGCTTTTCTTACCACTCCTCCCTGTTGTGATCTCCTTAAGAACAAGGACTGGGTTTTGTTTCTCTTCTGCCATCTTGGTCATGTCCTTCATCTTTAGCGGATACACAGTGACCATAAGGGGGCTTCAAAAAGTTCGTGGAAAAATGAAATGAAAAGATAATGGAATTTTCCCGCAAACTGAATTAACTCACTTGTTCTAGATCAGATACAACCAAATAAAAATAGTTCATATCTCTCATCATTTTGTAATAACAACACCCTCTCCCTTTCAAAACTTTTCCCAACATAAGAGGTAAATCCCTTGACTTAAACAGACTAGTATTTAGACATTTCCTTTTCGGTTGTTCCTTAGGTAGGGAAATGGATGTTGTTTTTGTTTTATTTCTGATACTACTTGAGAGATTGGTTGGCACAGTTGCTAGAATATAGTGGTAACAAGGCCAGAATCAGTCTAATATAGACCAGCTTGCAAGAAAGCAGATGAGGTATTTGTTTAATGGAGGTTGCAGAAAGAATTTTGGAATAGAGGAAATAAAATTGGAAAACCGTTGGTAATTGTTGAAATTCAATGAGTCCATAGGGTTCATGGAATCCCGGTGTGGTGCTGTGGGTTAATATACTGGACTGCAAAATTGGTTTGAACTACAAGATTGGCAGTTCAAGCTCACCAGCGGCTCCTCAGAAACCTTATACAGGCTCATTATGAGTTGGAACTGACTCCATGGCACTTAACAATGACAAATAGGGTTCATTATGGTGCTTTTTTGTTTTCACTTTTGTGTTTGTTTGAAAATGTCCAAGAGCATATTTAGCACTGCTCCTTGGGAAACACCTCACAACAAATGAGACAGTGTTCTTATGCAGGTTAAGTTATCTAGTTAGTCATAACCACCTGCCTCTGGCCTGAGATTGTCTGAGATTCTGGATGCTGAATATGAAAATTGGCAACTTGTAGAATCCTGTATCTGGTGGCCTGGGAATTGTAACATCTGCAACAAGTACCTATTGGCCTTAGTCCTTCCTGCTTCTCAGCCAGGTGATTTCTGGTGGTAGAGGGCTGGATTAGACCTTAGAAGAAAGTGAGGCAGTGAGGTGGGAGCCAGGGCTCAACTAGGGTCCTCCTCTTCTGTCCTAAAGCCTGCAAATTACTGGGAGATCCGAAAGTAGAACTATTCATTCATCTATTCCACAAATGTCTGGTATGTGCTACATTCCATGTACTGTCCTAGACTCCAGGGATATAGTGGTGAACAGAGTTCCAGGACTTAAGGAACTCACCTATTGGGAGGGAGTTGGCAAGGGAGAAACAATAGTAAAATACAAAAAGAGGCTTTGAAATGTTCATGGAAGAATTCCATTTTCTTTTAATTCCATTTTTCCATGAACTTTTTGAAGCCCCCTCAGATATATTGAGAAAAATAAAGCAGAGATGGGAAATATTTTTTTTTTTATTATTATTAAATGTTTTTATTTTGGATTGAGTGAAAGTTTACAGGGCACATCATCAGCTTCACATTCAACCATTCATATAGCTTGTTTCATTACATTGATTATTATCCCCTCCATATATCATCAGTTAACAGTGTTTCTCTCTATCCTCTTTAGCTTTTTTTTTTTTGAGGTGGGGGGGACTTGCCTTTTTGGAATTTACATTCTCGGCTTTTAGGGAAGGTTTTTACAGTGGATATCCAGGGCTCATGTATGAAATTACTAACAAGCATTACTGAATAATCAGATGAGGGACAGTTTTCAATGTCTGCTAGGTGGCTAAAGTCTGATCCTCAGAGCCTATGGTTTGGACGGTCAACAACACTTGGGCCCACAGGGTCTTGACCTCCTGACCGGGTCTGCACGGTCTGCATCAGATTCCCCCTTATTTATTGTTTGTTTAAGGGACGCTGCCTGTCTTAGGCGGTCAGTGCGAATTCCTCAGTCTTACCCGTCATCTAAACTCATTGCAGCATGGCAATGGCTCTGTTTTAGGTTGCTGAGGTTCCACGTGATCCTTACCCGTCTCTGGCCACATGTCCAGCATAAACAGCCGCCATCCGAGGAAGGCAGGGAGGGAGGAGATCGGCTGGGGACCCAGAGATGGGAAATATTGAGAATGCTAGAAGTCAGGGCATTATACTTTTAAATAAGGTGGTTAAAGAGT